GAGCCATTTTTCTCACTACTTGCTGTCGCTGCACCGACAGTGCAAGATACTGTAGTGCCAGCACCTATTGTTATTCCGCCTATGGCAACAATGAATGAGGATGAGGAACTTGTTCTTCAGGATCCTGTAGAACCTATTGCCACACATGAGGGGGAGCAATAACAGCCTTAAACAGAAGATGTGCCAAATGTGAAGGCCCCTAGAAGATCTCAAAGAGTTAGAAAATCAACTATTCTTGCTGACTATGAAGTATACAACACTGAAGAATTTCAAATGGAGGATGATCCCACCTCATTTGAAGAAGCCATGAGAAATGATCATTCATCAAAGTGGCTTGAGGCCATGGAAGATGAAATAAAATCTATGAATGCCAATAAAGTTTGGGACTTAGAAATAATTCCGAAAGAAGCCAAAACAGTAGGCTGTAAATGGGTCTACAAAACAAAACTTGACTCTCAAGGGAATATAGAGAGATATAAAGCGCGACTTGTGGCAAAAGGCTTTACGTAAAGAGAAAGCATTGATTATAATGAGACATTTTCTCCAGTCTCATGTAAGGATTCCTTCAGAATCATAATGGCATTAGTGGCACATTATGATTTAGAATTACATCAGATGGATGTAAAGACGATATTTCTCAATGGGGACTTAGAGGAAAATGTTTACATGGCACAACCGAAAGGTTTTGTCATGGAAGGAAAAGAACGAATGGGATGCCGCCTAAAGAAATCTATTTATGGATTCAAACAAGCTTCAAGACAGTGGTACTTAAAGTTTGATCAGACAATAAGAAATTTTGGGTTTAAAGAGAATGTAGAGGACAATTGTGTCTATGCAAAGTTGAAGAATGGGAAGTTTATCTTCCTTGTCATGTATGTGAATGGTATCTTGCTTGCTAGTAGTGATGTCAGTCTACTATTGGAGACAAAGAAGTTTTTGTCCTCAAAATTTGATATGAAAGATCTTGGTGAAGCTTTGTTCGTTCTACGGATCGAGATTCACCGAGATAGAAGTAAAGGGGTATTAGGACTGTCATAAAAGGCATACATAGAAAAGATCTTAAAGAAATTCAGTATGCACAAATGTAGTCTCTCACCTGCTCCTATAGTCAAGGACGACAGATATCGGGATTTTCAATGCCCTAGGAATCAGTATGAGATCGATCAAATGAAAACGGTTCCATATGCTTCAGCTGTCGGAAGCTTGCAATATGCTCAAGTATGTACGCGCCCTGACTTGGCATTTGTTACCGGGTTACTTGGCAGATTCCAGAGCAATCCTGGAACAAAACACTGAAAATTAGTAAAGAAAGTCTTGTGTTATTTGCAAGGAACGAAAAGCCTCATGATGACGTATAGAATATCAGATTCACTCCATATAGTGGGATATTCATATTGTGATTATGCGGGAGATAATAGAAAATCCACGTCTGGATATATATTCACTCTCGCAGAGGGAGCTATTTCATGGAAAAGCTCAAAGCAAACCATCACTACATCGTCCACAATGTATGCCGAGTTTGTAGCGTGTTATGAGGCAACGGGGCAGGTGAACTGGCTAAAGAAGTTCATACCCGGTTTTGAAGGTGGTTGACGACATCTATAGACCACTTAAGTTATACTGCGATAATAATCCGGCAGTACAGTATGCTCACAACAATAAGTCAAGTGGTGCTCCCAAATACATTGACATAAAGTATTATACTGTGAAAGATAAAGTCCGGGATCATGTCATAAGTCTTGAGCATATAAGTACCGAAAAGATGCTCGCGGATCCGCTTACAAAAGGCTTACCACCCAACGTGCTCAGAGAACATGTAGCCGGCTTGGGTTTAAGGAAAACCTATAATTCTGGACAAAAGAAGGCCCAAAGTTAAGTATCTATTTCAGAACAAAGTGGTGTGTTGTAGCTGTTAAATCTATCGGCAATTGACCGTGACGATGAAACATGCTCTATGCGCTAATCTGTAATGGAATGAACAAAAGTAAATGATATGAAATTGAAAGATGGTAGTGAGATCAAGGGGGAGAATATTAGTTGATCTCCACCAATAAGCCCAACGCCCTATTGGGCCATTGGATCTGCGCCCTGATTGGGGGCGCCCAACCCTAATATGGTTGGTGGGCCCCTGTTGCACAGCACTATAAAGAGAGATAGGGATCAGGGCTCTAACTACGAGGCTGACCGGAGCCGCCATGACCCACCGACAGCTAAACCTAACCTGATCTAAAGAGAGTGCTGCTAGTGACGGGAAGACCCACTGACGTCGCCGTCACCACCGGACAGCGGCACCTCGCGTCACCGTCACCTCTGCATCGCCACCACTACGCTGGACTCCACCGCGCCGAGCTCCCACGACACCGGCGTCCATGCGGCTGCGGCACAACTGCGCTAGGGCGAAGTAGAGGAATGAGTTTCTCCATCTAAGTAAGATGTTTACCCCCGATCTACGTTTCAGAGGTACTGTGTACCTAACATGAATATCAACAGTGCACGTGGGAAGGACTTTCTGAAGAAGCTTAAGGGCAAAAAAACAGCTTCCCCAACTGCTCAAGCTCAGCGTGTGTGGCATTAATAAGGGGAACTGGAAGGATTTATGTGATGCACTCTCGGCTCATCCCCATCTTGAATCCTTGTCACTGGGACTCCAAGAGGATTTCACAGAAGATATGCGCTTCGACAATCCACCAAAGGCCCTAAAGAGCCTTAGGCTGTACGGGCATATACATAGATTTCCAGCCTGGACCTGGATCAAGGATCCTCGCGTGCTGGTCAATAATAAACCCGAGAAGTTTGATGTTGAGGTGATTATATCAGGCAAAGAGGGCATGGATCAATCAGTGGAATCGTTGCCACGTACACGTACAAGTATAGGGATCCTACCAGTCCTACGTCGTCTTTGTATCAAGGCGACTCATCAAGTAAGAAAGCTAGAATTCAAGCCGGTCGTCGGTGAATTTGATAGTGGTCGTGGATATCCGTTGGGTATCAAACCACAGGTTCTCAAGATTGATTGCAGCTCTGCGTTAGAGGTAGCTTTCCAAACTTGGAGTATAGAGGAACATGTTAGTGCTGATAATCCACTGCTCTAAAGGATCGGATTTCCGGATTTCTTCAAACGAGGAGAGTGGGCTTAACCATCTATTTTTCCTCGACACAGTGTGGCTTAAGGGTTATGATAAAAAAAAGCAGAGCACGCGGCGCACTTGAAGGAGCAAATTGCCGCACATCCACGCAAACCTGTCTTCAAGTTTGAGAAACTAAAGTCAGCATAATCATTCTCTCGCTCCACGGTGTGCCTGCACTACTATATATATTTTGCCATGCATAACTGTTGTTGTAACACATGCTTTCTTGCACCCTCTTCGCTTGATCGTTTTTGTGGCTTATAAGTCGGCTGATGCTGTTTTGTTGTGAGAGAAAAATACTGTATCATGTCTTTTTAGGGGCCGTTTGGTTTCTGCCTATGTGCTCATACATCGGAGTCATCCTTTAAGCTCCATTTCGTATACCGCATGCCGTACTACATAAATGGCTCCTCTTCACCTGTTTTTGGCCGGATCCTCTCACAACGTTTTGTGCGGCTCCGCTACGGAGATGAGCAGGAGCTGTGGGAGCCGCAGTTTCTCTGTATGTGTCATACATTCATCTTTAATTGTTAGTATACCCATGCATGTTATGTAATCTTAATTTCTGCGTCGACAAAAGAAAATTAAATAAAGCTACGGAGTACGTAGTAGCTATACTGAATTACTACTCCCTCTGTCCCTCCCTACTTACAACTAAATACTCTTGAATACAAGTGGACCCACCCCTGTCTCCGAAGTTGATGGCTTGGGCGAAGTGATTGATGCAGCAATATGCTTGGTGCTTTCCAAAGTAGCACAAACCTAGTGCGGTGCTTTTCGAAGTAGCACGAAGCTAATGTTGCGAAACGTTAAGAACAAATGAGACTTCGATGTAATATGTTTGTCGGGATTAGTAAAGGCATAATATCACAGTTTTTGCAAACTGATGTTAGTCTTAGTGGGGTTACATCTAAGTTTCATTTTGTATTTGATACTACGACACATCAGCAGATTTAATGATTATGGCCTTGGCTTGGAGCATCGGATGCCAAGAATGTGTTTCCAAAGGTGTGTGCTCTTTCGCTCGCTCAGTCAAAAAACTGCTTTTTCACTCACTCTCATAAAAAAACTATTTTGCTCACTCTTGAAAAAAAAAGATTCTAGATTCAAAAAAAAGAAAAAAAAGATTCTTCCCCTCCCTTTTTTATAGGGGATGTTTTTTTTTTGGTCTTGGTAGTACATGTATTTAACCAAAAGAGAGTGGGAGGGCTACAAATAAATCCTAGGCATTCTCAACCAAACCACCAGGGCCCTAGCATATGATACAAGTCCAACAACATGGAAGCTTAACATCTCGACGGCCTTCTAAGTTTTTGCACATGGACAACCTCTGATGCCGTCGGACTTCTGTCTTCCGTACATCTGATCCAGCAAACGACCCGCCGTTGGAGACAGGTGATGCGGTCACCACTCTCACAACTCACGAGGGGGTGGGCCGTTGGCAACGCTGTACAAGTAGTACGTAGAACGCACAAAATCTGACAACGATAAAAACAAGATATTTTGCGTGACCAAAATATGTAACGGTGGTTGTCTGCCAATATTATTCAGTAGCACAAACCATCAACAAAATGGGAAGTTACATGTTACGAAATATAGCATAACATATATATATAGATACAAACCTGACATACACAATTTGGCAAGACGGTGGGGACAAACCCAATCATCTGCACACATCACTGCCTAAGAATTATCTCTTATCATGCGTTATCCTGATTTCTGAGTTCTTTCGGTAAATGCACCACGACCACACCAAGACCACGTTTCACAAAACTGCAAAGCATTGCCCCTGCTCAGGTTAGGGCCTGGAGAAGACAACTTTTCTATGAGCATAGAAGAATCTTTGCTCTTGCTGTGAAGCTCGAAAGGTTAGCTCTTGCTGTGGTTTGCCCTTTTCAGCAGCTTCCGGCTAGGTGGTACGTGATCATCCTGCAGCATATGACACAACAGACGTGAGGGTGGCTGTATAACTAAACGAGAATTTGCTGAAGTACACAATGTGATCTATTTATATCTCCAATTGATGATAAGCAACAAGACAGCAACATTTCCACAAGATGATAGGATAAACTACAACGATGAAGCAACATGTACCTTATATAATGAAGCCGCAGAGTCTGACTGCATGGTCTGATTTTGAGCTTGCCCAAGAGACTGCAAAGTCTCGATGGCATCTACCGTGAGCTGCCAGCCAGAAAGAGCTGTGCTCGAACCAGTATAAATACAACATGCAGCAGCAACATTTCCATTCACCCAAGGACAGTAATCGTTGTGGTGTCTTATTGGATCAAAGTCTGGAAGATCTGTTTCATAATCATTTTCTCCATTTGTTGCTCCTGAGAACCAAACATAAGAACAGAATAAATAGCATGTACAAACAAAAAGGAAGCCATGCTGTTTTTGAGGGACAAATGGTCAATTTACTTGAAGTTTTTGTGCCCTAGGCCTAACTGATTGAATTATGCTGGAATGGCAAAAGTAAGGATGCAAGCAATAGTTGAGTGCAATAAGAGAAATATGCAATTTTTACGGCAAATCGAAGACTATATGAATGTAATCCACAATGGTAAACATAAAACTTCATGATAAGAGATGAATGTAGTTCAACAGAAGCAAGTGTATGCAACATGTACCTAGACCATTTCCTGTACCATAGTCATCATTAGTTAGCATTATACCAGTCACTTCCTCTTTTGATGCATCAATGCCAGAATAAACTCTTGCGTTGCAAGAAAGAGAAGGATGTGCGCTATTCTCACGACTCATCTTCTCTCCACTCTCAACTGAATCAGCTTTAGTTGAACCACAAATTTTCGAACCACTGTCAGCTCGAACCACTAACCGAGATGCCATATCTTGGCTATCACCATTAGGATCTTCTCGACCAACTTCTTCAGGGACAAACTCATCCATCAATGCAGGTCCAGGGGCTGACTCACCAGTGTGGCCCATAGTCTCAATGAGCTCGGGAACTGGATCAGCGTCGCCAACAACACTACCAGTTTTATGCTCAGAAACATCAGTCCCATGAATTTCAGCTTCATGACTGGCACCCATCCCGACACTCCCTCCACTAACTCCCAGGCTAAGTTGATCTCTAGCAAATGCAGGAGTTGTTTCAGCATTGAGGACTTCTTCCCCTCCATTCATACTACTCCCTCCTATCTCTCTTGCATTACTTTCAGTTTCAGCAGCAGGCTGTACAAAACTGCTTTGCTGTGCTTGGTTGCTATAATTCAGATCCAATGTGTCACTCATTACACCACTCCTGAGTGCACTAGAAGGCTTATTAACATCATCAACATCACGTGGATGGTATTCAACACTTTCCATTGAATTTTCCTCCACGCCGTGAACTGTATCCATCGCAATAACAGAAGATGCCCGCATAGAGTCCTTCGGAAATGGGTTGCGATGGACAGATGGACCCTCGGCATTGGATGTATCAAACTTATTAACATCTATATCCAGGTCTAAACTTAAGTTTCTGCTGGGACCAGCTCCTGAAGAAGATGGACGATTGATATCGAAAAGATTAAAACCACGAAGCCTTTTGCTCCGAGCACCAGAATCTTGTGCGGCGTCATCAACTTCGTCACAATCACGGTCAATGACGGTTCCCTCAATGCTGTCAGCAGGCTGAAGCCTGTTTATTGGCTTGTCAGCTGTGCTCCCACCTTCCTCCAGGTTACGCTTTCTCGAACTGGGGCCCCGAGATTCAAATGAGGCTGCATGGCCACCAAGCTCACTTCCAGTGGGTTGCCCAATAATTAGATCTCTTCCCATTCCTCCATAATTGAGATGTCCAGGCATCGGGGGCAATGCAGAATAGTTTGATGGCAAACCTCCTGCCATTGTCAGATTTAAGTCAACTTGAGCATTCGACAGAGACTTACCCTCATCAATACCTGCCTCATCACGTCCCTCAACATTCTCTCTCTCTGCTCCTTCAGCAACCAGTCCATTGATACCACTTGTAGCACTAATTCCACGGATCAACACAGGCTTCCTTCCTGTATCAGGCATGTCGATGTTATTCAGACTAAAATGAGAAGGCCGTGGCACTGATCTGAAGTCCCAGATTCTCACTGTAGCTCCACATAGGCTGCAATCCAGCAAAGGTGATCTCATGCTGCATCCAGAATCTTTGACACGCATTTTACCTTTCCCCTTGTCTTTCTTAACTGACGCAGAGTATGAATTTTGATGATGCTCAGGAAATTGGGAATGGAATTGGCCATCTGGTTCAGCTGAGCCTGCATTTCTGGCAGAGCGGGTTGAATTCTCTTCCCAATCTTGAACATTAGGAAGCCATCTAGGCTCCCATCCACAAACGCTAATAAGCTTCTGTGCCTATATCAATCAGATGGGAGTGGCCTAGATCAAATAAAGCTCCATGTTCTGAAAATAATACAGCAATGAAAAATGCAACAAGAAGGCATCAATGGCAAGAGATGAAGAGATATACTTGAGAGTAGCAGCAGGTTTCATCTTGTTGGCCGATATCAATTCCCGTTGTACTGTCTGTTCTGTAGCCCAGCTCCCCAGACAAAATTGTAACTGACTGGGATAAGACTCGATCAATTTGAACGCTTCTAGTGAGTTTCATACTCTCAATTGCAGATAAGGCAATAGCAGGAAGAGACGTGAACTGCAACAATCCATCACAGCGATCTTTAAAACCACCGACAAGAGCTGATGGGGTTAGGTGGAACTGGACCAAGCTATCAGCACAGCTATTTCCTCTCCAGGGACAATCATTCTGGTGTGATGCATCGAGCTGCTCAGCAAAAGCTTCCCCAGCACTTGCAACTACAACATAACATAAAGGTCCAAACAAGTTAGTTAGGTCTCCCAGATGAACATGTTACATTTTGTGATAAGATACTGGCAATATTCCAGCTTAACTAAGTGACAAAAACATAAGTAAAACCAGACAAAGTTTTAGCTATTGTAGATCCATCAATAACTTAAAACAGTTCATCAGCACTGAGAAACTAAAATAAATTGTATTACCATCCAATGATAAAGTGGCACAGATGTCCTGGATTGAGAATGCACTATAAATACACTTAGACATAATAAGCATAAGTTCAGCCAATATCAAGTCCAACCAACTCAATATAGTTCTGCTGTCCGAGAAAACATTCACAACAAAGAAAATAGATATGCCTCCTCTGTTGCACAATTTTCACAAAGTACACCCCCAACCCATGCAAACGGGCATGAGCAGCATCAAAATTAAGTAGTCAGTGGTCAGTATATTTTCAGTTGCATTGATGCATTTATTTCTGCCTTTTTTAGGATTAAAGGAAGCTTAGCCATCTTCCATTGGAAACAAAGTGTACAGGACAACATAGAAGAAGCAGGTAACTGCCGTAAATTCCAGCCTTATCATACAAAAACAGATTGAACCATAAACTCCAAACAAGTTGGATTGCTTTAGCCTTTAACTTAGTACCAAGAGGATAATAACAATTTGCACCTAATGGCATTTCTTGTCATATAAAGGTTAGCCTGAGAATACAAAACAAACACTCTGATCCTTCACTCAATTGGTACAAGCAAATGGTAAATTCAGCTAACGGTTTCTTATTTATTTCAGAGAGGAGAACCCTGCTGTCAACAAAAGCAAGGAGGTAGCAATTTGCAACATATTGATATAATAAAAGTAAATGTGTGACATAGAACAAGTAATAGTTCCCTTAGTTGCAGCATTCACTGGCTCAGAATTTTCTGTGCAGGTAATAACATCATTGCAGTACAAACTACCTAATGATGCCAATAAAAAAAATGACATATTTAAGTCTGTGAAATGATCAATTGGCCCAAGAACTCATCATTCATTGATAAACAAAAAATAGCAAGAGCTGTACAAAATGCTAGTCATGAGTAAACAAGCTTAATTTCTCAGAACCCATTGCACAAATCTGTTAACGAGTTTTTGCCACTTAAATGAGGTACAAAACCTAGCATTGTAAGGAAAGCCTGAGAGTTCCAGCTTGGAAAAAGGTCAAAAACTAAAAGAAAAAACTTGTTGACTTCGAGCATACCTTCAGCAGGGGACCAGGATGTCAATGCAGTAAACATAAGATGTGCACCACAAGATTCACATTCAATCTTGTCCATGTCAATGTTCACCCAGCCTCTTCGAGCACAAGCCAGTGAACTAGCAGCCTGTAAAAATTATGTCAATAGTGTTCTTTTTCAATAAACTATTGTGGTCAATTTAATTTCCTAGTTTATCTATTTTTAAATAGAAGTCAACAACAACAAATAAGCTATATGGGGTCAAACAGGTTGGCATTTTAAAGGGAGCATATAAAAATATCAATGTAGACATAATTTTAACTAGTCCACTGCTTAAGAATGACAATATGTTCAAGTTCAATAATAGCACAATGAAGATTAAGCCATAAAAAATAGAACATTTTCCAAGCCACAACATATGCAGCACAAAAATCACTCCCTCCAATCTTGTTAGGAGGGACAAAAGGTTATTTTATTTGATGTTGTTGGTTTTCAGAAGTGCCCCTAACCGATTATATATGTTAAAAGCAAAAATACTCATTCTCTGTGTTTATTGGTTTTGCAGATGAAAGAATACATTAGTATCATAGCAGGAGAAACAACTTTATTGGGGGTATGTATTCCTCTTTGATTAGGTGTATGCATTCATATTGTGCAAGTGTGCAGCTGTACAGAAATCTAAAACATCATATGAGGTTGGAAAGGAATAACATTGTACTTCCTCCGTTCCAAATTATAAGTCGCTTTGACTATTTTAATACATAGAATTTGCTATGTATCTAGACATATATTATATCTAGATACATAGCAAAATGGATGTACCAAAAAAATCAAAGCGACTTATAATTTGGGATGGAGTAACTGATATTTGGCATGCCTTGGTCTGAGATTGACAACCAATCAGCCAGCCATAAGCAAGTTTGCCAGAGTTCTTCAGTTATTCCAAACCATTATTTAGGGATTAGGGTGGTTCTAAACAAATGCGCTTGCAAAGATGCAAGGTCAAATACCTCACCAGAAAAATCAACAGTTGATGAATAGTTAACCACAAAAATTATAACACCACAGGTCAGCAAGAGCCCAATATGAGAAGAAACAACCTTTGGCTTAGAAGCCCAAGTCGAAGGCTTAAACGTAGCCAGCCGACGAAGCAAGTCGCCTCGTTCCCACGGTCTGCATGATGATTGAAAGCAGTCCGCAGCAGCTCCATTAGCATTAGTACTAAGCGCAGGCTGAGATGCCAGCGGAGCAATATGAGAGGATCCAGCTTTGGACACTTGGTCACTGCCTAGCCAGTCTATGCTAGCTACATTAGTTTGTGCAGGGGGCGATGAGGCACCAGCGGAACTGCAAAGAACAAAACAGAGGAGCTTCAGTACAGGCAGGCAGGCAGAAAGCAGAAGAGCGCAAAGTAATTGTACATATTAAACATAAAACAGCACAGCGTATGATTCCATATTAGTTTATAACAGATTAGATGTTGCAAGACCTTATGTATCTTTGCAACAATAGCCTTGACCCCATTAGCTCGGAAAATGGATAGTATATACTTCCATGGGAAAAAGGGGAAAAAAAAGGTTTATTTATTCAACAAGACCATGGATATAACAACACTCGCACGCTACAGTGGCACATACTAAGCTCATTCCCATCCAATTCCTAAATTCTGCAGTGAAGACCCCAAGAACAAAAGGTAATTTCAGGTAACTGGAGCACCCTAGGGTTTAACAAACGGCCTACTAGGTCTGACATACACAGCTAACTCAAATTACTAGGGCCACGAATCCTGAGCAAAAATTCAATTTTTTCCAAGCACAAGCCACCTCACGGCCTGGGGAAGCCTTGTGAAGCCCGATCCGGAGGCCAGGCACCAGCGGCGCCGAGGGGGTCGGCGGACACAGCCGCCACGCGGACACCCAGCGGCCACGCGAGGAAAGGGCTGGGAGAGAGCGCTGCGTACCTGGCGACGGGTGTGGGCGGCGGCGAGGCCGACCTCCCGGGCGGCGGGTCGGGGGGCGCCGCCGACGAGCTCCGCACCTCCTCGCGCATCGCGACCGCGCTCGTGCCGGGTCGGGTCAAGGACAGGGGGAGGGGTCGAGCGAGGCCGGGCGGGGCGAGCGCAGGCAGAGTGGTGTGGACCGTGTGGCGTGTGACTCGAGCTCGATGGAGAATGAGACCCGCGCGTGTGCATTCACATCGCCTGCACTGCGCGGCGACGGCCGGGCGCGGGCGGCTGGTTACCAATGGGCTCGCGGCGCGGATTTCCCGTTCCATTCCGTTCCACGCGGCGGCGGCGTTGACGAAGGCAACTGGGCCAAACAAGATTTTGGAAAAGATCTTGTTTCAAAAAAAAAGATTTTGGAAAAGATCATTGGTTAGGTAGTAAACCCTTATGGCTTATATTTGGTTAGGGTAATTGATAATGGGGAATGAGAGTTTAGAGATAGGAGTTTAGAAATCAATTGTTTGTTTAGTGGGAATGAGTGTTTTTGGTGCGAAGTGGAATGGAGTTTAGAGGGTCAACTTTCACTAATCATTTTTTTAATGGAGGGGTGGGGATTATGCTCTTAATAAAACAAAAATACATCATGACCGTCCATCATGATTTGCCATATAATTTCTTCCTCAAAACCCACACTAAACATGAATTTGGCCTAGACCAGGAGTTTGGTTGGGCTACTATGTAATCGGGCACACCATGTGTCCATATTCCTTTATAAAAAGTCCATTTTACATGTCTAAACTTTCAAAACCGTTTAAATTATCTCTTTACCCGATTTAGAGTGGTTTTGAATATGTTTTTACCCTTTTTTAGTAAAAAAATTGTAAATACTTGATAAGATTTTTAAACTACAAAATGTTTCCAAGATAGTCAGATTTTAAGATTTTCAAAAATTCTAGAGATAGATTGGAATACCAAAAATGCAAATAAAATCTTTAGAGGTCGTGCAAACATCTTTAGAAACTTCAAAAAAAAATAGTTTTGCTCTATAAAAATGAGAAAATATTTAGAAAAATCTAGAAGATTCCCAAAACATCTAATAAATGTTTAAGCATGTTTTAAAAACTTTGGACGACAAAAAACTAGCGGGAATGCAACATACACTAATGTGGAATGCATTCATGTTGTGCATTCGTGTTTGTTGCGTATTATGTTTTTGTTGAAAAAAGTTTTCAAAACACGTTTACATATCAATTAGAATGTTTTGGGATTTTTCTAAATTTTTATGAATATTTCTTCCATTTTTCTAGAGCTAAATCTATTTTTAAGCATCTAGAGATATTTTCATGATCTCTAAATATTTTATTTGGATTTTCATATCCCAATCTATCTCTAGAGTTTTTTTTCCAGAATTGTTAATGCAAAGAGATATTTTATATTGTTTATGAACCTTGTCGAGTATACCAAATTTTTTTAAAAAATAAAAGGACAAAAGTGCCTTCAAAACCTCTCAAAACCAGGATTGGGGGTAATTTTAATGGTGTTCAGAGGGTAAGAAGATAGAATAGACTTTTTTTTCCTTTCCTTTCCTCTCATCAAAGACTCTAGGGCCTAGTCAAGGATGGTCCAACAGCTCTAGGATGGGCCAATAGCCCTTTCCTCTGATGAGAGTGTTGAATTTTCCTCTCAGAAATGTGGCATGCGGAGACTAACAAAAACTTGTGGGGAAAAGAAAAAACTGAGGAATCGCTTTAAGGATCAGAAGCCAACCTCAACATCCATTTTTGGTAGAAACAAAGAATACAACATGACCCTTGTGAGCAGGCAGTTCAAGACAATCCTTTGCTCACTTCAGTTCGACAAATAGTTGCAGGGAGCAGAGCAATATACCCATTCCATTATGAGATTCTTCAGCATATGCCTCACGTTCAAGCCATGTGAGTTAGTACTGTACTATTTTGCAATTTAACGAACCGGCACTAGTTGTGCCAATTTCTATAATAGAGAAGAGGAATTATTACAGTGTTTTGAATTCATATTTGCCTTATTTTGTCTGGAATTAGCCTCTAGCTAGCTGGATAACAATTTCGTCAGCAGTGGGTAATTCACACCCATGTGCAATATTGCACAGAAGAAAGTAAATTCGACAGCGTTACTTTGCTGAAAACTATGCACATTCTTCATTCACATTATCCAGCATACTTTAGTCTCAAAGCACCTAGACAAAAAATAATAATAATAAAAATAAACAGGAAGCAGTAACAGGGTCAGTTTCCACCGACTCCCTGACTAGTTATCTGCAGCGCTACTTCTAAAACTTGGTTGCAGACCCATCACGGGGACCTCCGTTGCCGCGGCTCGTTGCCTTACACGATGCCGCTCTCTGGTTTCCACATCACGTCCTTCAGTCCATTTGAGATGTTGTGGTAGAACTGCACAACACATCCAATAAATGACAGAATCAGTTTATTTCGTTCATTCCTAGCGTGGCTCCAACCGAGTGTTAACAGCACATTATGAACTACAAGTTTAATCACCATATATACCTTGTGGAATTCAAGGGTGTCGCCGTTGGACTTGCGCAGCTCAACCATGTACAGCGAAGGCGTGACCTCAAAAACCTTCAGGCATCAGGTAGTTTTTGTTTCAGTCTAAGCACCAACCAAGAACAGTACAACAAACCATACAGGAAGTCTAGGCACAATCATGAAGCTGTACCTCTGTTGCAATGGCCAGCTGACCCTTCCTTCCAGGGTTCTCCCTTTCAGCTTCAGCTGATGGTTCAGAAATTGTGGTCAGAGTAATGCTCAGGGCAAATGGAACTATGCAAACAAGGTGCTGCATCCTGATTCTTAACTTCCACTACCTTATAGTTGCGCTTCTGAACATTGAAGCCCATGGGTCCTGCTGCTGCTTCGATTTTCGACAGTATCTCATTTGCAGGAAGCCTTGATGCAAACCTTGTTTCTCGCTTAACAGGACCCTAGTAATACAAGCATTGCAAAGCATTCAGTTAGGCAAAGGTGTTATGGTTGCTGACATCCGAAGTTCAGGTTCATCAATTAAGAATATGAACATACCGTTTGCTTCTCAAAGAGTGTGCCGAGATTGAGGCCCTGAGATGTCGAGATTAACTCGAAAGCATTCATTACTGATGGTCTTTCTTCTCTCCTCTCAACAACAAGCTGTGCTGGCTCCTGCAATGAAAGCAGCTGTTTTTGAACATGCCCATACAATGAGTTGTGAGATAATACAATTGAACTGTATGGTGGAAAAGCTTACCCCTGATTCATCGAAGATGGAGTTGACATCGTCCAGATTAACATCTGCTGTCTCAAATCTGGGAGGCTGATACCCCTTCTTGAACCACTCATTGTTAATAAGCTCTGCAATAGTTATTCTCTGCACAGGCCATAAAAAGATGATACAGAGTTATTAAACCTGAGATGCTGAACAGAATGAATAAAAAATGATGACTATGAACAGTAGAACTTACAGTGTTAACATTAGGATCTAGTATTTTCTTGATGAGCTTCTTTGCACTTGTGGAGAACCAGGACGGGCAACTGAAATCTGCTTTGAAGATCTGCATAAAAAATCAGACTAAGTCTCAAGCAACCATTCAGAAAAAGGAAAGCCAATTGCTTCATGAGTTCTTGTCATTGTAGAGACTGGCAAACCTTCTTGTAAAGCGACATTAGGTTCGAATCTTCAAATGGGAGGTACCCCGCCATGAGGATAAAGAGAATCACTCCACATGACCATAGATCAGCCTTAGCTCCATCATACCCTTTATTGTTTATAACCTGTACATGCAAGAGCACTGGGCATGAGAACAGAATATTTTACTGAGTGGAAATAAGAACGTAATTAAAAGCATAGTTGTGGTCAGTACCTCGGGAGCAACATAATTGGGAGTTCCACAGGTTGTATGCAGCAGACCATCCTCCTGCAAGTTAACAAAAGGATATTGAAAAATAATCAGCTGATTGGAAAATATTCTATTTGTTAGGTTCAGGTGAGAGTAAAAAAAAGCATGGAATCTACATTTAAAACACAAACTATTTTATGGCGATAGTATTTTTTTATGGACATGTTTATCCAAAAGAGGCCAATTTACTTACTCGGACTTGTTGAGATAGTGCACTCAATCCAAAATCTGAAACCTTGAGTGTGCCATTAGCATCAAGCAGAAGATTTTCAGGCTGAAAGAAAGAAGGAAAAAAAAAAGCACATACCAATCAAACACAGTTTCCTGCTGAACCTGCGCACTTCTCCATATAAACTGTTAAGCAATACTCACCTTGAGATCACGGTGGTAGACGCCTCTGCTATGGCAGTAATCGACAGCGTTGATGAGCTGCTGGAAATACTTCCTTGCATCATCCTCTTTCAGCCTTCCACGCGAAGCCTAATACCACAGGATGGGCGCAAATTCATCACATGCCCTGAGTGCATGATTCAGACAAGGATGAAAAGACCGGACACTCACGATTTTGTCGAAAAGTTCGCCACCGGTGACAAGCTCCATGACTATGTATATCTTTGTCTTGCTGGCCATCACCTTCATGAGAGGACACACCACGTAAGTGGACAGACACACATAGAAGTGGACAAGGACGCAAAAGAGGGGACAAAAGGTAAAAGTCATCAAGCAACAGGTAGCAACAAATAATCAGTAGCACTCAGAAAGCATAGTTCTCTCTTTTTGAAAAGATCAAACAAGGCATAGTAAAGTCCAACGTTTATCATCAGTTCATTGCCGATCCAAAAGAAAATATTTGTTTCTTAGTGGGAGGAAGAACAGAGAATTCAGTTTGGGGCCATTTTTACTCTGCTCTCATATATAGTTTCAGGTTGCACAAGCGTGAAAAATCCATTTATTGATCCAGTCTTCCACAGAGGATTAATCCCTGGAAAAACGTATACCTCGTACATCCGGATGACGTTGGGGTGCCTGATGAGCTTCATGGTCGAAATCTCTCGCTTTATCTGCAAGCAGCAACAGCACGAGCGCGTCAAAAGTCAGAAACTGGCCTCGAAGTCAGAGGACAAAGCTGACCGTCCCAGCCAAACAACGACGCACACGTTCCAACGGAAGGCGGGCGAGACGACGAAACGAGACGCCCGTGCTCGCCTGCCTGCTACCGTCAAAGCTCGCCAGCGGGTGTATTAATTCTAACTGGTGGTCCAACGTTTTTTTATTTAATTTTCAGACGATTCCATTTTTCGCATGGTGGCGGCTCTAGAGAAATTTCTGAAAGAAGACAAATTCTGACGCAACGCAACTTGCTTATCTGCGAAGAGAAGTGTAGGATGTGGAGTAACGGAAAGGAGCGTGAATTTAAGTTTCACCAGACTTCCAAACGTGTTTCCCCTGAAGATCCGTAAAAATCAACAGGAGGTAAGGAACAGCACGTGATTGAAAAGAAAACGACACGAGAGCGCACGTCTCCTATACAACTCATCGAAGGAGTCATGATCCATGTTCATGAATGGAGGAGCAAACGCATGAAGAGAAAGAGAGATTTTTCGTCCTGGCTCTACTCTAATCTTCAGAGGAGAAAAGAAGGAACTGAATGGAACTTGAAACACGTAATATAAAAGAGAAAGCGAGAATTTTTTTCGTCCTGGCTCTAATCTTCATCAGAGGAGAAAAGAAGGAACTGAATGGAACAGGAAACACGTAACAGAGCAGGAACAGAGAACGGGGTGAAGGTGAAGGAGAGAGAATAGAAACAGGGGATCGATGGCATGGCATGGCATGCTTTACCTGGGCGATCATCTTGTGCTTGAGGACCTTCTCCTTGTCGAGGATCTTGATGGCGACATTCTCGCCGGTCTCGACGTTCCTGGCGAACTTGACCTTGGCGAAGGTGCCTTCGCCGAGGGTCCGGCCGAGCTCGTACCTCCCCACCCGGGTCCGGCCCACGGACACGCTCATCTTCCTGTCTTTCTTTCTTTCTTTCTTCCCGGGCTCCGGCCGGTAGGATCGGCGAAAAAGGCGGCGCCTTTACGGGCGAGTAGATCCGAAGAAGGTGGATTTATCTGCCGGTGCGCGTGACGGCGGCGGCGGCGGGCCTAAGACCTCTTCTTGTCGCAGGGTCTCCACTGGACGAACAGCTCCTGGTGCTCCTCGCCTTGCTGCCGCTGCCGCATCAGGCCTCGCCTCGCTCTGCTCGCTCACTGGTGTGTCAGTGCATGGGACGGGAGGGGATCGATCGGCTGGTGGCGAGGCGACCAGGTGGCGGTCGGAGGCAGGGGGAGAGGGTAATGGTGGCTGCCTGGCGATGGTGGTGGTGGTTGTGGGTCGGGTAGCGGAGGCGAGGAGGAGGAGACGGGAGCTGGGTATCTATAGGCGAGGGAGAGGGGCCGAGGGGGGTTGGGACTCGGGTGGGGTGGGAGGATCGGGGAGAGGAGGAAAGCGCGGTCGCGTCGCGTGACGAACGATGGGGGCGGACGGCAGGCGCGGCGTGGCGTGGCGTGCGCCTTCCGCGAGCCTTCTCTGCACTCCCCTCGTTTACCGCGCGCGTCCTTGTGGTTAATTAGTTGCTTGTTACCGCGTGGTTAATGCTAATGGTAAACTTGTAGGAATAGATTTTATTTTTTTATTTATATATAGAAAAAATGTACGTATGTGTGTAATTAGTTCATGTAGGACTGAAGTATATATTCATTGTTCACAATATCACAAATGTAGAAATAGAATAAATTATTGTTGTAATTCGACTCTCTGGAAAAGAAACACTCTTTTAAGTGGGGGATAAGTTTGTTTAGGACTAATAATATACACCATGTTTACTTGATCGTATCAGCCATGCTTATCACCATAATATAATGTTTTTCTCTCACAACAAAACAGCATCAGCCGATTTATAAGTCACAGAAACGATCAAGCGACCAGGGTGATAATCATGCGTGTCTGGAGCAAAGAAGCATAGTCGTGATCCGCTGATGGTGACGGTGTGGGCCCGGAGGGACCAAATTGTTGGGGGCACCGGGGCAACTCTGGTCCGGACAACTGGTAGCTTCTCATTTGGTCTCCCATGGTAAGCTCAAAAATAAAAATGGTCTCCCATGGTTTCACTTGACCTCGGTTGATCCTCCGGTAGTTAAAAAACAAAGGGTAATAATAACAAACAAGAAACCATCTTCTAGAATGGAGGAGGTCATACTGAGGCAATGAATTTCTAGGATTGAGAAGTGGTTGAATATTAGGATATATAGATGATGTGTCTCCCACGTTCCTTTGAAAATGAAACGTTGGTAACATGCACGAGAGGTGCTGGACTAGGGTAGGCTCTTCTACCTTGTTTTCTTGCCCTGTATCCGGCTTTGCTCAATGTTGGTGCTAGCATGATGCGCACTAGGTTTTATATGAAAGCGGTTTGTTTCAGGCGTGACAAGTGATGTATATTGGTTTTTTCGCCTTGTCTCGATGCGTATGTTTGGTGCTAGCTCATAAAATCGGGTATGACAAAAATTACATGTACATGGCTTGTCATCCATGTCTCATATGTGTTTGTTTCTTTTTTGGCACCGAATGGCTGTCAACAAAATAGCAATGCATCCTTCTTTTAGGTTATTGTGCAATCTTCTCGGGAAAATAAGTACATTGTGCTATATTCGATGTTGCACTTAGTTTATCATGAAATAATATGTGGCCACTTATTTCTTTGGGTTTTGGTGTGATGCCTTTTTCATTTTAGCTTGTGTCAATTACACTAGCATGTGAAAAATGAATAAAACAAAAATAATATATGGGTGCTTTTATGACTACTAATTAAGGTATGTGATTACCGTTTGGATACATGATCACTACTTTATCAAAATGACTCGCCATTCATGCACTTGTGTTGTCGAATGTTTCAGAGAGAGAGAGAGAAGGTGTCTATAAATTCTTGCCTTAACAATCAGTTAATAAGGATACAATTAATTGTATGAATTTTGACTTCTGGAGGAGAAATAAGGTACAAGAATGTGTTGGAATACTAAAAGAAAATTGTTTTTGAAACCATTTTGAAATCAAAGTGACACGCCCACCACGAGTAAAAGTTGTAAGGCATCACTCAACACAATATAAAGTAGTGTGTGAACAAGTTCAATTGTTGTCATGCCATTGTTGTTGGACCATGGACACATTTATTTGAAGTTGCCCATTGCATGGATTTTCTTTTTATTTTGGACCAATACCATATTGTAGAGTTCTTCCTTTTTGTAACTAGTGAATTGCACATCAACACGCACTCATTCAAGATGCCAATCGTATTCGAGTTTGGATTTGCTCCAAGTCCAAACTAAATAATTAAGTTCGGTTCTTTTGTGCACGAGTGCAATGGATCTCATGGTTTTGACGAGACTTTGATTCATAACATATATTGTGTTAATTATTGCTTAGGAAAAATATAGTGAACTAAATTAGGACATGAGTATTTCTTAAGACAACCGACTATATTATTAGTATAGATAAATATTATATTTACAAATATGGCAACAAAGTAAATTTTAATAAATTTGATGGTTTGAAACAATATTCCTCACGGGTAAGTTTGTCACTGATGAATAGTTAAATTTTGATATCAGAGAAATTTTTGACTGATCCGTAATAAATACGTTTCTAGACTGTATTGTAAATATAGTGGCCTCCAAACCAAGCCGCCTCTAGAGATACATTTCTAGCCGTTTCTAGAGAAATTTCACTGATGAATATATACGTTTCTAGACTGTATTAATATTGTATTTGTCACTGATGAATAGTTAAATTTTGATATCAGAGAAATTTTCGACTGATCCGCAATCAATTCCCAGACTGCTCCCGACGACTGTTTATGGGGCTCCAAAATCCAAATTCTAGAGGTATCAAGCGAAGTCTTTTTGATGCCTCAGTGCTTCAAGTAAGTTGTAGTAAAGCGAAGACTTGGTCAGTATACGACACCGTCACACCCCACTTCCGTACGACACTGCTAGCTTAATTACTGGCAGCTAATTGTCCAACAGTTCCGGACGACACTACTAGCTAGCTTAATTACTGGCAGCTAATTATCCAATGGGATCAGTACTTGCATACGTAATGTACTAAACGCTAGTAAATTATTAGGGGAAAAATGTAGTATCTAGTAGCTGTCAATTTGCCTTGGAATAGTATTGTTGAAAGTTGAACAATATGAAGAAAATTGGCATCCGATCGAGACTGAACACGAGAGTGCATACGTAGGTCCTGCGTTCGATGCATAAGAGCCAGCCAATCCCGAATCTATTCGTTGATCGTTCATGTCATGTGTGTGGTGTGTATGATGGGAGGGTTGTGCTCTTCTCGCTCTCTCCGTATTATTAATCATCTTCTCTATCCTTATAAGTTATTGCTTGCCCTTTTTTAGTTTACAAATAATTGAATACTTTTTTTGGGTTAGACAATTTCTGAATACCTCTGTGTAAGCTTGACCCTACCAAAGGGCTTCTCACACGTGGCTCCGGTGCCAGAGGCGGAGCCGGAGCCCCTAAGGTGAAGCTATTTTACCGGACTCCGGCTCCTGCTACGAGAAGGGCTGCAGCTCCTTCCATTGGACGCCAGAAGCGCTCCTCAATCGTCTTGCGTTTGGTGTGGCTCAGCTAGGAGGACCCAGTGCGGGAGCCGCCAAACGAGCACTAAAGCACGAGCTGGGCTAGCCCCATGCGGACAGACCGAATTTACTCAAAGTCTGCGTTAACCTTAAGATCTATACATTAATATAAGGATGAGCATGCATTTATACTATGTTTTAAAAAACTAAGAATCTATTTGGATACCATGGTCTAAATTAAAGTTAGAGACTAAACTTTAGACAACTAAATTTTAGCCAGTAAACTTTAGATCATGAGCTAAAATTTAGAACTAATAATTCAATAAAACTTTGGATCACTTTTAGCAAATTTTTGTCGTCTAATGGTATAATGTGCTTTTGGGGTTACCTAAAGTTTAGATCTAACTTTAGACAACTTTGTTTGGAGACTTTTATATGTAAACTTAAGTGGCTGGACTTTAGATGAAAGGATCTATATCCTAGTAAAAAAAAATTCTCACCTAAAATACTATTCAATTATTTTTGAACTAAGAAAAGAGCAAGCAATCAAAAAATAGGCCTAAGTTTGCTCATAGGCACAGAATTCACGTCAGAAATCAATCGGATTTTTTTTTGTTGGTTTAAGCCCACAAAAAATGCTTAGCTCTAGATTACTGAGTTAGCATAGATGGATAAATCATCTACCATCAGTTGTAAAGTTTGCACTACAAAAAGCTTTATAGAGACGGCTAGGATGTCTCTACAGGCCAACCGCTACCTCAGGCCTCGTGCGTTCCTCCCGTAACCACTCCACCCATAACACGTACTTATATCTATTTGGGATATCCGTCCTCCTTATTTTATCTTCTTCCGATTTTCAAATAAGTATTTGGAACCCTAAATGAATTCAAAATGAAAAAGTTATTATATAACTTTTTAAGATCTACAACTTTAGTTTTTGTCTTTTCTCCATCTAAAGTCATTTAAAATATTTGAATTTCAAGTGCGAGAAATTCAAACATAGATTTTTCATACGTAGATGATTTCAAATGAAAAAGTTGTTAACTATAATGTTGCATACCTTTTGGAGGTCTACAACTTTTGTTTTGGTCGTTTATCGATCAGAGATCATTTGAAAATTTTGAATTTCAAATATGAGAAATTCAAATGTAATTTTCCATGCATAGATGATTTCAAATGGAAAAATTGTCAACAACAATGTTGCATAACTTTTTGAGATTTAGAACTTTTGTTTTTATTGTTTCTCCATTGAAAAATTCAAATTATAATATGCAGGCCATATTTTTAAATGTAAAGGAGGTTGGAAATAGAGCCGCCTCTAAAAATCCATTTTGTAGAGGCAGCTGGAAATAGAGTTGCATCTACAAATATGGCATTTGTAGAGCCGCCTATGAACATCAATCGATTCTAGAAATGTATCTCTAGAGGTGGCTCAGTTTGGAGGCCACTATATAAAGACAACTGTCTTGCCTATAAAAAAAGCTCCCATTGCTGGCAATCAATTTTGTAATAGTGTTGGACATGAAACAAGGAGGGACCGATATGATATAAAATATAATGAGAGGGGCAGATTAGTATTTTATTATATGATTTAAAGTG